CCCCAAAACCCCAAAACCCCAAAACCCCAAAACCCCAAGATGTTATTCAATATTGATAATAAATTTATACCAACATGGAGTTTGACAAAACAGACTACTTTGTCTTTAGAGAGACAGTCTACAGGTCTTCTGCCTCCGAGATCAAAAAGATGCTCAAAGAAGCCAAAAACGGTACTTTCCTCTCATTTTTCTTAAGAATGCTAGGCTGAATATTCAAGATTTACTATGAGGTTTCGATCTTTACAAATATCATTTTACTCATTGCTCAAGTTATGCTTCACTTTAAGATTAAGATCTTGAGGTTACTTGAGTTAACTCTGTTTTCTAGAAATAAAAGTGAATCTCAAGAACTCAGCCGATGAGGGAATCATATTCGTATCCAAATTGGAATACATCAGAATGCTGCTCACCATCCACATTGTCAAAGAGTCCGAAGTCGACTTCGACATCTTCGAAGACATCTACCAGACCCTGATGAGTCCGGAGCGGTCGGAAGCCCTCCCTTTGAAGTACAAGGCCGAGTTCGCCTTCTTGTTCTTTGTCCTCTTCCTCAAGAATGGAGCCTATTCACGCTGAGAAAAGCTGATGAAGACTCAACGAGACCTCTACAAGAAGAACAAGGAAGACGCCTATGTGGCCTTCAAGTACTTCTCGACTTTCTTGTCAGTGTCACCTGAGTATCTGACGGTGGCTGCTTCAACTCCACACGGGTACTTCTACAATGTGTTTGACAAAATCGCAGAAATGAAATTTCCTCCCAAAGTCATGACCGAGCTGACATTCAGGAAGAAGAAGCTGCTGGCTGAATACTACTTGTCAAGAGATATCCAGAAGTGCATTCCCATCAACGAAGAACTGCTAGCCATTTGAGCAGAAGCCAAGTCTCTCCACTACTTGGTACAGCTGTGCGACATCTTTCTGTCTTCGCAGATGAAACCGTATAAGTGAGTCAGGAAGTTCACCGAAGAAGCCAAGAAACTCATCGAGGTAGAGCTGGAGACCCACCCTGAGCCCGAACTCAGCATCTGCCAGTTGGTGCTGTTGAAACTGGGTAAGTCAGATTCAATTTCATCGTGTTTGGAGTGCAATGTCTCTGAGAATCCTAATTTTATGTAGACGTGGACTCTCAAATTAAGACAAAGAACAAGGAGAACATTGACGAGATGTTTGAGAGGGTTCACAAAGTGGCAAAATCAAACAATCTCTGTGAAGAATCACTGTTTTACTATCAAGTCTTCCAACAGATAGTTTTGCTCTTAATACTATAAAGAGTAATTTTTGAATTAACATTACAGTGGACAAAGACCTCATTCCTTCTAAAATTAGAGAAAAATTAAGAAAATAAGTTTGTTAAAACCTATAAAGTCCAAGAAAACCTGAGCGATAGTTTCTATTTGAGAGGATCACTTGAAGCCCAAGGAAGTAGCATCCCATTCGTGAACATAAAGAACCTTGCATTTATCATTGATATGCTCTGATTAATCGGAATCCAAGTAGATTTTGATATTGTCAAGAAATATGCTCAAGATATGGAAGAAGATAAATTATCCTATATTCTCTTCTTGTCAAGTATAGGAACATCGCAAGATTTCAACATCGAATCTCAACTATTCACAGCATTTGAGTTCTGAGAGGATCTTGACATTCATAAGTTGCATCAATTCAGAATAAACATAGACTTCCAGCTGATGAGTCAATACATGAAAGGCCACTCTTTCGGACATATTGAAAAAGGAAAAAGAATGCTTGAATCAATGACTCTAAACTGCGAGAAATAACCGTGATGAAATGATTAACCAGAGATTGTTAATCCTCTACCAGACCCAGATGAACCTTGCCACCACTGAAGGCAACACCCAAATGTATATTGAGAATGCAGAAAAGTTCTTATGAATTTACAACACATTAGTAAGTATTAGTAGATAAATACAACTTCTAAAATTATAATGAGAACCACAAAGTCTTATTGAAAATGAACCACATCCATATCCAGACACTCTGGCTTTCTCTAATAGCTTGGACAATCTAATTACTTTTAAGAAATAAAACGAACTACTTCTTCGACTTTAAAATCTATTTCCACCTCATACAAAAAAATAAATATCTTTCCTGTATCATAAACTCACTGGTGCTAAACATAAACACCAAAGTTGGATTACTGCATCGTTCTAATATCGCATTAGAATACAGAATGAAATACACTTGAGCCAAGAGACCACTCCCAGAATATAGCTTCGATATACTGATCTCTGATCGAAGCTTGAACGATGCAAACCAACATGTACAAGGCTATCATGGTTTCAAATGACTTCTTGAAGTTTGCTGTTCAAGAAGGAGAAGAGACAAAACAATATCATACTGCTCTAGGTAATCAGTCTTACTTCTTTTTGAATAACTTAAAATTCTTATTTAGAGCACAGAGTAAACCTGGCGTGGATCCAGAAAGATATCATGACCTTCATTGATCTGAGCCACAAACTGGCAGACATCGCCAACCATGTCTACGGCAGAATCTCTGCCGAGCATGCCTACGGAGTTCAAATGGTTTCAAGATCGTTCACTGTTAGGATGCAGTACAAGGAGGCTTTTAAGGAGATTGAGAAATCTTATAAAATACTTATTGAAGTCCATGGATCAGAATACCATCAGCAAAGTTCAAACATTCTCTTTGAAATGGCCATTATAAAAGGCCACTTACAGGAATTTGATGAAGCATTTTTAAGTACTCTATTTTTAGCATTACAAAACCTTAAAACATTTATTCCAAATTTATTCTAACCTCATTGGCAATTCACTTCTGATCTAACTTCTTTTATTAGTAATTTAAAAAATCAAAAAGAATTGAGTCCCAAATGACTTCAGAAGACTCTTCAAAATATAGTGAAATCATGCAAGCAGAAGAGATACTGACCCAAATGTATGAGAAATACCTGATCAAACACCCAGAAGCAAGGAAACCCCGTTACACCAAATCAAAAGTAACTGCAGCTACCTTGCTGTTTGCAACGATGTCTTATGCAACTTTCAGGTACTTCAGAAAGACAAACCAGTAACCGTTTTCAAATTGGAAATAAAACATTGGTATGACTGTGGAAGAAGAAGCCTAACTAATAAAGAACTACCCAATGGAATCAGCAACGCTTATTTATTCCTATAATTCCTTCGATTCATATGAGCTTATAAGATAATAGCTAAATCTATATTAAGATTAGCACTACCAAACCATTTAGTCCAGCTTTGAACACAAATGCAAGTCCTAATAAATAATTCCTGCATTTGATACAATTTAGGAGACACTTTACAACTTGGGATGGGGCCTTTAGGCATTGGTTCTTAAAGATAAGTTTGCAGGCAACAACCCAGATGGAGTAAATTACAAACTGAGTGCAGTAGTGATAGTTGCAATATTATGAATAAATATAGGGGTTTTGGGGTTTTGGGGTTTTGGGG